GCGACCCACAGGTTGAGAACCGCTGATTACTGATGCCAAGCCCCATGCTTCTAACCAACCTGAACTGCACTGGCGCTGCCCAAACCAAGTCTGACCAAAGCATCCCCCCCCCACCCCCACCCTGGACAGAGGGTGGGGGCGGGGGAGCGGCCGCGGAGGCCAAACGCTCTGCTCCTCCGAGGAACTAAGCGGGAGGGGCACTCAATGAAAGGCTTTCTCATTCCAACCGGTGGAGACCGGAGGTTCAGCCCGAAGCGGTAGGGGAACGAGGGGCGGGACCTTAAAGGGACTCCAGCTGTGACAACCGTCCCCTAAGTCCCTTCTTCCCGCGACTGTCGGGCACAAGGTCCCCAGAGCGTCCCGCGCCCTGAACAGGTGGGGTAACTCGCCGGCGCCGCGGTCCTGCCGGCTGCCCCGAGCCCGCGGGTCGGGCCGCCCCTCTCCCCGAGGCCCCATCCCTGCCCACGCAGTCCCACCCCGTCCCCGCGCCGCCCGGCGCCCTAAAGGACGCGCCTTCGTCGGACTCGCGGCCCCGGCAGCTGCGCTCGTCGTCCTCCGCGCTCTCCAGCTCCTCGTCCTCCTCGGGGTAATACTCCGGCGCCGGCGGCGTTCCAGTCGGGGCCGGGGCCGGAGCCAGCAGCCCCGCAGCACTCATGTCGCCTCTGACCACAGCTGAGCGTGCCACCCGGGGACGGCGGCCACCCGCCCGGCGAACGCGACGCCCGCCAAGCTGTGCCCGACGGAGCAGACAACTTGAGGAGCGGGAGGCGCGGCGACCTCTTCCCCGTCTCCGGGAAGCCCGGCCCCTCGCGCCCGCGCTCGGCAACGGGGCCCTCGCTTCGGTGGCAACTTCCGGGTCGCCAGCTGCCCAAGGATCGCCTGACTCCGCCATCCTTCAGGGAATGGAGAGGTCGCCGGACGCCTCCTTCGCCTTAACCCCAGCCCCTTCATCGCCGCCTTAAAATCGTCCACGGCTAGCGGCTGGCGGCTAGGGGCGGAGACAGAGTCTCTCCAGGCAAAGCCATGGGCAGGCCTCTTCTCGGCCAGGACCCCGAAGCCCAGAGGCGACTTCCGGAAACAGCCGCCAGGCGGCGCCCGGGGCCAGAGCCAAAGTGGGCATCCTTAGCGACGTGAGAGGCAGAGGGTTTGAAGGGCTTTTGCAGGTGGAGCTGGTCTATCTCTTCGTTAAGCAGGTGAACGACATCATGCCTAAATATCTAGAGTCCCGAAGAAAAGGTGCCTGGCTCCTCCCCGCCTAATTGAAACTTTATTGAGAACTAAAATAAAGACAAGGATGCTGGTATTCCGTCCTGGAGTGAACAAAAGGATAGTTTCCCAGTCTCTGGGAGTCCTTTCTGTTTGTATAGGTTTACTCGATAAGATGTTATCCCGATTTTACAGACGAGAAAAGAGCTGCCACTTGCCTAAAAAAATGAGAGCGTCCAGTCGGCCTTGTTTAGACTCAGAACCAGGCCCTGGAGAATACAAATGCCTCATATTTCTTAGAATATTGGTGTGTGTTTTTTTAAATATATATCCCATTGATTTTTTACAGAGAGGAAGGGAGAGGGATAGAGAGTTAGAAACATCAATGAGAGAGAAACACCGATCAGCTGCCTCCTGCACATCTCCCACTGGGGATGTGCCTGCAACCCAGGTACATGCCCTGGACCAGAATCGAACCTGGGACCTTTCAGTCCGCAGGCCGACGCTCTATCCACTGAGCCAAACCGGTTAGGGCTAGAATGTTGGTTTTTTTAGGGTGGTTCTCCCCAATCTAATGACTTGTGGACCAGCTCTCAACTGCCACCTTTGCCTACAGGAGGTTAATTAGGCTAACTGAAGGAAGGTGCTCTGGAAACAGAAAACAAGAGAGCGGACTCAATGCACAAACTGATTTGTGTGATTCCCTCTGCGTGGAAGGGGACACAGTGTTACAAGCTTTGTTTGAGGGACAGATGACGATCTCCCTTCTCTAGTTGTGTGTAGCAAGAAAAGGGATGAGGACAAAGGCGCAGAGATGTTTAATGGTTTGTCCAAAGTAACCCTACTGTCTGTGCTGCACCAAGTCTCCATAGAAAAGTAACTCACAAGTAGTAAAGTTGAATACAGTATAAAAATACTGTATAAATACTGGGTGGAATCCAGTATTCTGATTCTCAGATCCTTTGGGACCGAATTTATCTCTGAATTGGCCTTCATAGAGTCTTCTCAAAGTACAAAACCTTGTTCTCATCCCATTTATTTTAACGTTTTTATTTTCTACCTTGTCGTCATTTAAAGTTTGGCTATATTTGTGAGGGATTTTTTTTCTACCTTGTCTTCATTAAAATATTGGCTATATTTGTGAGGGATTTTTTTTCTACCTTGTCTTCATATAAATCTTGGCTATATTTGCGAGAGATTTTTTTTCCTCCCAACAAAACTCAAGAATTTCCAGACTGGAATGCTGCAATGTCTTTTCAGGAGTTCAGAGATCTTCTGAAGCCCCTTCTAAATCAGAGCCATCCTTGCAGCTCACTGTTCACCATCTATATATCAACTAAGATTTCAGAATTGTCTCCTATCCAAAGGATGATGTCATTTTCTTTATTTATGCTGTTAGATCCGATCTAAATTATTTGTAATCAACTATATTGAGCAACTTGAGTTCCTATCAGTACCAGTAGTCATAGACCAGAAAAAGCACCAACAATTTAGAAATTAGAATTCATTGCTATAATGAATCAAAGAGAAAAGAGTTGATTCCTTGCTAATTGGCTTCCTTTCAAGACACTTGGATTTTTATCATGCTTCTGTTTTATTTCTATTTTCTTGATTGTAAATAACATCTGTTAATAGTCATGCATTTCTTTTTTTATATGAATAGACACAACTGAACACTAGGGTGGTGAAAACTTACCCCCTTTCTTCCAATCCCTATTGCCAACTTCAGAATTGGTAAGATGAGCTCTTACTCAATGACTCTTTAGAGAAGGAGGACCTACTTATGTTAATATAATGATTTTGGACAGTTTTTCTAGACCTACAGGAATCAAGTTCCCTCAAAACGAAGCTTTACCACCTTGAAATGCCTCTGCATCCCCTCCCCACGTGGCACGCAGTCGCGCTGCCGGGGAGATGTCTACTTCAGAACTGTTCTTGGAGTCCTGCTAGCCCGTCCTCACAGGCCCTCTCAGCATACCCTGACACTCAAACTTAAATGTAAAAGGGGAGCATCGTGCCCTAACCAGTTTGGCTCAGTGGATAGAGCGTCAGCCTGCAGACTCAAGGGTCCCAGGTTCGATTCCGGTCAAGGGCATGTACCTGGGTTGCAGGCACATCTCCAGTAGGGAGTGTGCAGGAGGCAGCTGATCGATGTTTCTCTCTCATCGATGTTTCTAACTCTCTATCCCTCTCCCTTCCTCTCTGTAAAAAATCAATAAAATATATTTAAAAAAAAGGGGGGGGGCAGCATCGTCATTGGAATGAGGCGTGATTTCAAAACACTAGGGAAAATATAGTGTTTAGAACACAAATTTGTCAGTGGGAGCTAACACACACAAAAAAGAGTTAATGGTAGAAGTTTCCCGAGAGTGAAGTCCTATATACACATCTGACAAGGCTTCGGATCAAACTGTGTTTCTGAAATGACACCATTTCTTCATAAACACTGACTTGTCAAACTGCATAAACTTTGGGGTGAGAGTAGTTTTTGGTTTCCTGTGTTGTTTGGTCAACATGGACAATTTCACAAACAGAAGGAATGGCTCTGTGTAACATGATGCACTTTCACCCCTGGCAGGCACAATCTTTCACCCTGGGTCAGGACGGGTCTCTGGTATCACAGGTTGCACGTGGGTCAAAGTGTATTATCCTTTGGCCATTAGTTCACACAAAACCATTAAACCATGTGGCCCTGAAAAAGAATATGTTGAAGAGGCATGCTGAAAGCTTGCTAAAGCTAACAGGGTTTCCCCTGTACAGTTCCTGTTCCGCCTATTCTCATGATTATCAAAACCCACAGACTGGCCGAAACCGGTTTGGCTCAGTGGATAAAGCATCGGCCTGCAGACCGAAGGGTCCCGGGTTCGATTCCGGTCAAGGGCATGTACCTGGGTTGCGGGCACATCCCCCAGTGGGGGGTGTGCAGGAGGCAGCTGATCAATGTTTCTCTCTCATCGATGTTTCTGACTATCTATCTCTCTCCCTTCCTCTCTGTAAAAAATCAATAAAATATATTTAAAAAAACAAAAACAAAAAAAACACAAAAAAACAAAAAAACCCACAGACTGATTATTTCTAAAGTTTTGTCCTTGTACCTATCAAAATGTGCCCCATCCGTGTTGAACATTTACTTGTGCAGAGCACGCATCTAGTATATCTATTTCTTTTTCCAAAAGCATTAAGCTGATGTCTGTTGAACGCAATACAAGGTAGGGCAATTCCCTTGACAAAAATACAAAAAAAAAAAAAAAGTTTAAATCCAGGAAATATTTACAAGTCCTGAGTGAAAAACAAAACACTATATTAATTTCCGGCAGAATTACTCAGAAGGCTGTGCAAGGTCTAGCGGAAGAATGGGGTCCTCCTCAATGGCTCTAGCAGGGTGGTCCAGGGGAGTCCCAGGGGGCCTTGGCCTCTGGGAGTCTCCCAAGAAAAGTAAAGGCGCTGGGAGGAGTGCCGCGAACTTTGACCGCAGCGCTGCACAAACAAAAATGACCGCACCCCAGGCGGGCCCGCGGGTAAGTGAAGTTGCAAGGGCTTCCGCGTCCAAAGAAGCCCCGCCCCGCCTCATTCTGCCCCGAGGTCAGCTCCACCAATCCTCGGGCGCCATCGACAGCTCGGCTCCTCAGGCACCTTCAATCAAGTACCTATATCCGGGCCCAGGCCTGTGCCCCGCGATCAAGGAAGGTCAGTAGAGAGCCTATCAGAGTCGAGCTAGGGGCGTGGTCTGGGGGCGGAGGGCGGGCGGATGAGCCCGTGGGGCGGAGCGCGCTCGGCGCAGTCGGGTGCGATTGGCCACCCCTGGCAAGAGCCGCACCTCGGACAGCAGCAGCGGCGGCTGCGGGAGGGTCCGTGTGGCGCCCGGCGGCAGCGGCGGCGGCGGGGTCCTGCGGGAGAGAGTGGGACGCGACGCCGAGACCGCGGGCGGAGCCTCCGCGCGGCCGGCCCTGCACTCAGCGGCGGGACTCAGGGACCCTCCAGGGGACCAGCGGCAGAAGAGCGACCGGGGAACAAGTGTGGGAGAGGAAGCGGCGGCGGCGGCGCCGGGCCGGGTGCTGACAGCAGGTCTGAGGTGAGCGCACCCGGGGCGCGGGGCTGTGACAGCGGGAGCCGAGGCGGGGGGACCCTGGGCGGGACGAGGTCGGCGAGGACCCGAGTGAGGGGAGTTCCGGAGCGGGTCTGGCCGTCCGGACTGTGAAGAACAGACCCCAAGACGGGCTCAGGGGGGACCCTCAGCGGGACAGGGAATGTGAGTCCGAGGGGGACCCCGCGAGGGTCCGGAACAGCGGGTCTGAAGAGAGGGGACCCCGAGAGCGAGCGGGACCGCGGGTCTGAGGGGAGTTCGCGCGAGGGGCCGGGACAGGTGTGAGGGGGTCCCCGCGAGGGCGGGACCGCGAGGAGAGGGAGGTCCCCGAGGGTGGCTGGAACTGGCGGTAGGTCTGATGGGGTCGGGATAGCGGGTCTGAGGGGCAGGGGGACCTCGAGAGGCCCAGGGCCAGCAGATCGTGGGGGTGGGCCCCCGAGAGGGACCGGGCCAGCTGGCCTGAGGGTGGGACCCGAGAGGGGCTCGGAGAGGCCGGGGCCGCCGGGAGAGGGAGGGAGCCGGGGCCGGGGTCGAGGTCGCTGCGCGGCGCGTGGGAGCCGCCGGCTGCGCGGGGTCCCTGCCAGCACCGCTTCCCGGGGGCGCGTGAGGGGCGCGTGAGGGCGCGGGGCAGCCGGGCGGCCCCCGGGGGGCTCGCTGGAACGGGGGTTGTGTCATGGGACCTCCAAGGAGCGCGCGGGCGGGGGTCTGGCGGGAGCGGCGAGGGCTGCACGGTGCGCGGGACGCCCTTCCATTCATTCCCGGGACCTGGCGCGGGGGCCCTGGGAGCGAGGCGCCGCGGGCTTCTCCGGCCCAAAGGAGAGCGATGCTGCCGGGGCCCCGCTGGCGCTCGGCTCGGGTGTGTTTTCGGAGGGCCCCATGCTGTTCCTTGTGGGGCCACCAGGACCTCAGAAACTTTTCCGGATTCGGCAGCGCCTCGGCCTCAGCGCCGGCGGGGCGGGGGGACGGGACGCGTCTGGGGTCTGACTGACGGCTGGGCGTCGGTCTGGGAGGCAGTGGACGGTCGGACGAGGGTTGGAAAGAGCCTGTGTTGCTGCCCTGGCCGGCTCTCTAGTTAGTCTCCCTTCCTCCGAGCTGCCGGGACTGAGCGTGAGGCGCAACTGCTGGACCGGCAGCGGGAGAAGCCTGCTTACCCAGCACCCTGCGCCCTGCTGGGGGGCCGTGCGGGGGGGGGGGGGGGGGGGGGCGTGCGTGTCTCCACGGAATGCTGAAACCGAGGAGGAAAGCAGCGGGGGTGAGATCTGGGGATGGGACCTGGGGGGTGGGACCCGGGGATGGGACCAGGGGGTTGGGACCTGGGGGGTGGGACTTGGGGGGTAGGATCTGGGGGTGGGAACTGGGGGTGGGACCTGGGGGTGGGACCTGGGGGTGGGAACTGGGGGGTGGAACCTGGGGGTGGGACCTAGGGGTGGGAACTGGGGGGTGGGAACTGAGGGTGGGAACTGGGGGGTGGGAACTGGGGGGTGGGATATGGAGGTGGGTCCTGGGGGTGGGAACTGGGGGTGGGACCTGGGGGGTGGGAACTGAGGGTGGGAACTGGGGGATGGGAACTGAGGGTGAGACCTGGGGGGTGGGATCTGGGGGTGGGTCCTGAGGGTGGGACCTAGGGGTGGGAACTGGGGGGTGGGACCTGGGGGGTGGGACCTGGGGGGTGGGAACTGAGGGTGGGAACTGGGGGATGGGAACTGAGGGTAGGACCTGGGGGGTGGGAACTGGGGGTGGGACCTGGGGGGTGGTAACTGGGGGGTGGGAACTGAGGGTGGGAACTGGGGGGTGGGAACTGAGGGTGGGACCTGGGGGGTGGGAACTGAGGGTGGGAACTGGGGGGTGGGAACTGAGGGTGGGAACTGGGGGGTGGGAACTGAGGGTGGGAACTGGGGGGTGGGAACTGAGGGTGGGAACTGGGGGTGGGAACTGAGGGTGGGAACTGGGGGATGGGAACTGAGGGTGAGACCTGGGGGGTGGGATCTGGGGTGGGAACTGGGGGGTGGGAACTGAGGGTGGGAACTGGGGGGTGGGAACTGAGGGTGGGAACTGGGGGGTGGGAACTGAGGGTGGGAACTGGGGGTGGGAACTGAGGGTGGGAACTGGGGGGTGGGAACTGAGGGTGGGAACTGGGGGGTGGGAACTGAGGGTGGGAACTGGGGGTGGGAACTGAGGGTGGGAACTGGGGGGTGGGAACTGAGGGTGGGAACTGGGGGATGGGAACTGAGGGTGAGACCTGGGGGGTGGGAGCTGGGGGTGGGTCCTGAGGGTGGGACCTAGGGGTGGGAACTGGGGGGTGGGACCTGGGGGGTGGGACCTGGGGGGGGGGAACTGAGGGTGGGAACTGGGGGATGGGAACTGAGGGTAGGACCTGGGGGGTGGGATCTGGGGGTGGGACCTGGGGGGTGGTAACTGGGGGGTGGGAACTGAGGGTGGGAACTGGGGGGTGGGAACTGAGGGTGGGACCTGGGGGGTGGGAACTGAGGGTGGGAACTGGGGGGTGGGAACTGAGGGTGGGAACTGGGGGGTGGGAACTGAGGGTGGGAACTGGGGGGTGGGAACTGAGGGTGGGAACTGGGGGTGGGACCTGGGGGTGGGAACTGAGGGTGGGAACTGGGGGGGTGGGAACTGAGGGTGGGAACTGGGGGGTGGGAACTGAGGGTGGGAACTGGGGGGTGGGAACTGAGGGTGGGAACTGGGGGGTGGGAACTGAGGGTGGGAACTGGGGGGTGGGAACTGAGGGTGGGAACTGGGGGGTGGGAACTGAGGGTGGGACCTGGGGGGTGGGTCCTGGGGTGGGAACTGGGGGGTGAGGAAATTAAACTGATGCCAGGCTAGGGGTTCACAGTGCTTAGCAGGTGTCCTGGATGCACGGGCTCAGCATTCCAGCCAGCAGTTTTGCCAGTGAATTTTTCACTTCTTTGTCCCTGTGTGTTGCTTCTCCAGACCCCTTCTCTTTGCAACTGTTTTCTTTCTTTCTTCCTTTCTTTCTTTCTTTCTTTCTTTCTTTCTTTCTTTCTTTCTTTCTTTCTTTCTTTCTTTCTTTTTATAGAAGCGGATTTAGAAAATGATGGTATTGGGGAAACAATGGTGGATGTAATGACTAGATCACTTCACAGATATTTCGATATCGTCTTTGTTTCAGGTTGAGAGTGTGTGCTATTAGAAACCTTTGCCCATGGTTAGTAATGGGTAGCTCAACTAAGAGCAAGGGAGACACACTGCCCTTACTTCCCAGAGACCTCATGTGGAACACTTACACACAACTGCTTTCTGCAAATCCAGGACAAAAATTCCAGAAGTCATCTTGGTCAGAGTGATATTAGAGGACATGTGCCATTTGGGGATTTTATTTAATAGTAGCTGACACAGAACACTTCTTATCTGGCTTCAGAAAGTGTGGAACTTTATGTGGTTATGAAAAATCCACCAACCAGAAGTCCTCCTCTAAGAAATAGAAGTCGTGGAGATAAGGAAAAACAACAGCACCTACAAATTTTAAATATGCGACAACTATCATTATTTAAGGTGTATTAAGTGTAATTTTTTCACATTAAATTTATTTTTCAAGAACCCTAGAGAGAAATCAAGGTCAGTTAACACAAGAGGTTATGTACAAGGGGCATATATTCACTGTGTAGTGCATGTAACATTTGAAATGGTCTGTAGAAGGACTGGGAATCTCAGTACCAGTAATTCTACAAAGTAGAATTTGAGCAGATAAGCTCTTTCATCATACTTGTTAGCTCATCCCTGACTCGTACAGATTGTAGTTCCTTAAGATAAAATATTAAATTTATTTCCTTGTAACAAAAGAAACTGTTCTGATACTCCCCTGAGTGATTACTAAAGCAGTCATTTCAGCCACATTACGTTATATTGATCCAGAGATGCTGAAGAGAGATTCATTGTAATAGAATTTTTAGTGATAGGAGGGGCCTACAATAACTGTTTATTCCTAGAGGAGAGGCGGAGTAGAGGAGGGTAGGAATTCGTGGGAATTTATTTTCATTTGTTTTACAAAATAAAACACTAGGAGAACTGTAAATATGTGATTTATTACATACATCATCATTTAAACTGTTTCTTTTCCATTAAAAAATAGAACCCTAAGTAGAGATTAAGAAGGAGCCTTCCAGATGAAAGGTTACAGCAGCCTTAGGATGCAAGTTCTTTTCAGTTTGTAGTTCTTAAACTATTAGTTTAGCAGGATGCAAGTACTGCCCAGTAAATACAATAACCCATTTTACACTTTCTTTACCGCTTGAGTCCTATACAGTCAAACCATTGTAATCTTAGAGTCTACCTTGATATCTAATTTGGTTTAATGTTTAAGCCAACTTGAATAAAAGTTCTCATTCCTTGCCAGCGTTCAAATTTGTTGGTTTCAAGTAGTATAGGAGAATGAATGAAAACTACTATTGGTACTTTTACTTTAGAGTCTTTTTTGTTAAAAAGCCTCTTTATAATCTTTTCCTACATTCTTTGTTTCTTCCTTCCTCCAAAAAGGAAAACAGACAGAAAGTTTCCATTTAAAAGTGTTGTGTGACTCTCCTGAGAAAACATTTTTCAGATTTATTTTCTTTCTCCAATGAGAGATTTTTGTCAATCAGAGAATAGTTTTGAATGAGTAGTTTTGAGTTGCAGACTATTGTACAATTAATTGCATTTCACCATAGGGAATATAGTTTGTAATTATTTAGCCTATATTTAGCCATTTTATTGGTTGCTTTGTTATTTATGAGGATATATTAAAATTTTGTTGCTGTTTCTTAGACTCAGCTTAGTAAAAAATAATAAGTGATATCTAACTATAATTATAGATTAGATATGTTTATTTATAGGCCAAAATGTGATGTAATTCATATCTAAGCTATGGGTCCCCAATTAAAAACAATAACCATTTCAAATTTTTATGATAACCAGTAGAAATTAAATTGATAAATTTTATCATTCTAGCTATACTATGTTGTTAAAGTTACCTA